CCCCCGGGAGCCGTGTGAGACACTTTTTTTTGTGGAAGTGTGCTTTTTTTTCACGTTTTTTGGACAGAAGCAATGCAACACCCGCTGAGTACAACGATAGAGCTTGAAATATCAAAGACAATTTTTAATATAACTCCGACTGGATTCGTCTGAAAGAAGAAAGTCATATACACCTAGGATGCATCGGGGGTGAGTAAAACGCAGCCTAATTTTCATTTTTGGGTGAACTAAACCTTTAAATAGCTGTTCAGCTTAAATAATACACAAGTTTAAACTTGCTCCCTTAAAATTATAAGCATCAAATTTCTGCATTTAAATCATTCAAAAATGGGTCCCATTCACTTGTATTTTAAGAATTGCACCATAATGTCCATAATGTTATAAAATATAAACAAGGTCAAAACAAAAAACATAGTTCATTTGATTAAAGAAATGTGATGATTTATTTCTTTGCTTCGGACACAGTATTCCAATCTTCTCTCTTTCTGTTTCTCGTTCTCCTGCAGAAGACGAATGTTCCTCGAGCCAACTGTAATAAAATCATCATGTTATTTACTGACGGAGGGGAGGACCGAGCTCAGGACATCTTTGAGCAGTACAACTGGCCCAATAAGACGGTCTGATCATCACCGCCCATACCATTTCACATGACATGATATGATTTATATCTTCTTTCTCTGTTGAGCGTCTTTTATTTCTGGTGTGCCGTTGTCCTCTGGAAGTGCTTGTTCCTCATAATTAGCCCTTTCCTCCAGGGAAACTGCTCGTTTCCTGTCTAATTTGCCGGGGTAATTGTGGGATATGTGATGGTCTCTGCAGGTCCGTGTGTTCACGTTCTCGGTGGGGCAGCACAATTATGATGTCACTCCGCTGCAGTGGATCGCATGTGCTAATAAGGGTGAGACACATGCTCATTTGGAGGAGACGCAAAAAAAAAAAACTGCCCGTACTGTGATGATACAAGTTGACTTATGTGGTGATGCATGTTGAATTATACAGAAATTAGATGTGACATCTCTGTCTCGGCAGGATACTATTTTGAGATCCGCTCCATCTGTGCTATAAGGATTAACACCCAGGTGAGTTACACACACACACACACACACACATTAATGTGTGCAAGTTTTCATATTATGGCTGGCAATTTAAAATGAAGCAACATTGTGAACATTCGTTTGATTTTCAATTTTAATGTAACTATTTTCTTGATCGTTTGGTGTCTCGCAAATCGCACATATGAGGCGCTTTAGTAGTATGATTCAAACTGATTCAAATTTCAGAAGCAAAAACAACATTTGAACTGGTATGTCTGATTTATTTCTCTGAGTCAGTTTGGCGTGTTCAGTGAATCGATTCGTAAATCAGCATATGTGCTTCACTCAAAAATGTTTGTGGACTCGCAAATTTGAGAGCAATAAAACACTTTAATAGTATGATTCAAAGCAATACACACTATTGAAATGATTATGTACATTTGATTCATTTCAGTGGAAAAGTGTTTATTTCAATGAATTGATTTGTAATTGATTTGTTTTGTAGAACATATGTGCAGTGGCGGAGCCAGAGGGGTGTCCAGGGCACTGGCACCTTCATAATAGGAAACAAAGTCTCAGCATTCAAATTCTGTTCGTTTTGTTAAAAATTTCAAATGATAAGAGTTTTGGAGCTCTTTAGTGGCGGGACGGTTCACATGCGCTCCCGCTTTGCCTTAGTTCAAGCGAAGCAGGAGCGCTTTCTAATTAGCATGATGATTCATTTCAGTGGAAAGTGTTTATTTCAATGAATTGATTTGTAATTGATTTGTTTTGTAGAACATATGTGCAGTGGCGGAGCCAGAGGGGTGTCCAGAGCACTGGCACCTTCATAATAGGAAACAAAGTCTCAGCATTCAAATTCTGTTCGTTTTGTTAAAAATTTCAAATGATAGAGTTTTGGAGCTCTTTAGTGGCGGGACGGTTCACATGCGCTCCCGCTTTGCCTGCCTTCAAGCGAAGCAGGAGCGCTTTCTAATTAGCATGAAATAAACATGAATGATCATCCGAGGATATGTTGAAAGATACACTGCAACTTTCTGAATGTGCAGTGTCTCATGTGATCACTCAATGAGTGTCTCAACCGCGGAAAGACAGCAGCTTGAAAACACTGTCTCATAACCTCAGAAAATACATTCAGTGTCCATAAACTAGCAAGAAGATTGTACGGATATTTCAATGAATTGATTTGTAATTGATTTGTTTTGTAGAACATATGTGCAGTGGCGGAGCCAGAGGGGTGTCCAGGGCACTGGCACCTTCATAATAGGAAACAAAGTCTCAGCATTCAAATTCTGTTCGTTTTGTTAAAAATTTCAAATGATAAGAGTTTTGGAGCTCTTTAGTGGCGGGACGGTTCACATGCGCTCCCGCTTTGCCTTAGTTCAAGCGAAGCAGGAGCGCTTTCTAATTAGCATGAAATAAACATGAATGATCATCCGAGGATATGTTGAAAGATACACTGCAACTTTCTGAATGTGCAGTGTCTCATGTGATCACTCAATGAGTGTCTCAACCGCGGAAAGACAGCAGCTTGAAACATTGTCACATAACCTCAGAAAATCCATTCAGTCTCCATAAACTAGTATGAAAAATTTGCAAAAATTACATTTATTGTATTTCTACTTTTATTGTAATTAATAAGAAAGTATAGATAAAAAGTTGTTATAAAAATGGTCTAATATAAACTTGTATACAAATTAATTGTTACTTTTAACCTTAACAATGGTTCCCTGTATAGTTTAGTTTAGAAAAATTTAGAAAAAATAACGGACTTAATTGCAAGCTTGTTAATTATTCCCACCAATAGGCCTAATTCTCACTCCAGGCTGAACTCAGAAGTTGGCAGCCCTGTTTGAAGCAAGCTGAAGTATTAGGTATCCTGAACAACATACAAAATTAACTGTATAAGTTAATGTTAGATCTTTTGCTCCAACCGCTGCTTAATCAGATAATAGAAACAAGAGAAGTAAGTTTCAATAGACTAAGATTTGAAGTTACGGTATAGGATTGTATAGCTAATGTGGGGTAATGTTGTTACGGGGCGAACGAGACGCGAGACGTGCGGATCCATGTGCAAGGCTTTATTTACAAAGGCGTGGTCAATAAACAGGCAAGGGTCAGATAACACAGGTATATCACAGGCAAGACAAAGAATATTCCTAGGGCTAGCGTGGGTCTTCGATCGGCGAACAGTATCCAGAGGGCTTGACAAGAGGAGTAATCCAATAACACGAGCAATAGTCCAAGCGAGGTGCAAACACAGTCCACAACAGCAAGACAAAGGGTTAATCCAAGAAACACAGGCAGAAGGTCAGGAAACAGACAACAAGGCAACACGAAGTGGCTAGACTAAGACTAGAACTAGGAATGGCTCCGTAATGCAGCTATCGCTAGAAGAGTGATATAGCTAAACAATACTAGGCAGTGAGAGAGAGGAAGTCCATGGCTTATGTAGGGTGTGTGATTGGTTACAGCTGTGTGCAATCAGTGCAATGGATGATGGGAAATGTAGTCCGTGGTGACGTGTAACAGTCTGTGTAGTGAGAGAGTCAATATGATGGATGAGTGACCTCTGGTGGTGAGTGAATGGAAGTTTATAGACAGGATTCGTGACAAATGTGAAGTAAAATCGTAGGATTTATTCATGCTTTTTTATGCCAGATTGGAGTTATAAACTGGTTTTCTGTTATAGTCTATGGACCCCCTGAATTAGCCTTGGCCTCCCCATGTATAAAACTCTAGCTCTGCCACTGCTTATGTCACTCAAAGATGTTTGTTGTCCCACAAGAGAAAAAAATAGTGATTCAATCTGATTAAAATTTCATTGAGTTGGTACATTTGATTCTTTTTCGTTTCATTGAATCGATTCATAACTGATTTGTTTTATACGACATGTGCATCACTCACAAAATGTTCGTTCCCACAACTCGCAAGATTGTGAGCAACAAATGCTTTAATAGTGTATTTCAAACTGATTCTGACACTATTTATTTTAGTGAATCATTTTATTTCTGTGAATTGATTAGTAAGTGATTTGTTTTTTACAATGTATGCACTTCACTCGTCTCTCAGTTCACAAGTATGATTCAAAATTCAGTGAATTGATACGTTTACATATTCATTTCAGTGAATCCGTTCAAAGTGTTTGTCTCAGTGAATCGATTTGTTACTGATTTGTTTCATAAAATTTGTGCGCATCAAAAATGTTATGATGGGAGTCTCTGGTTGTATTAAAAGATATATTGGTAAATATTAATGTTTATTAGTACGTATTGTCATATTGGTGCATATAATTAATTAAATTATAATTGTTTCTATTAAAATTAAACATCATCATCCCTTATGTTCATTTAGTAAAACAAAAGCATGCCTTGATTATTTGAACAAAATTTTACTTTGTTTTTTGTCTCGTGGTATACATTCTATGGTTCCTGTGAACAGAAAAAAAACATTCTTTTATTTCAGTGCAAATACATAAATACTGAGATATTCCATTTAGAAATTATCAAAAATTATCAGTCTATATATTATATTTTTGCCATATCACTCAGCCCTAATACACACTCGAATGGCGTATTAATGAAAGGTAAAATGCTTAAATGAATGTGTGTGGCAGGAATATCTGGACGTGTTGGGCCGCCCCATGGTTCTGGCAGGAAGAAGTGCCAAGCAGGTGCAATGGACCAACGTCTATCAGGACGCGCTGGTGAGAGTCGCTTCGACCCGCCTGCTGTGTGTGAAACATACGGCCCGCTCTGATTCCGTCATACTCTGATGCCTCATAAAACCCCGTGAGTCTGATGAGTGTGTGTGATGTGGTTCATTAACAGGGTCTGGGGCTGGTGGTGACGGGGACGATGCCGGTGTTCAACCTCACTGTGGACGGAAACTCTCAGGTGACGCTCAGTCAATGACGGATCAGCACTGAAAATGAACTCTCTTGTGTTCATTCATATCATTGACGGCAGTGTTTGTGTGTTCAGAATCAGCTGATTTTAGGGGTGATGGGGGTCGACGTTCATCTGGATGAGCTGAAGAGACTCACGCCACAATACAAGGTGAGGTCATTGACACTGAAAAACCTGTGACTGATACCCTGAGCTACCTCGACAGTTTCGTTGTTCTAGGTTAACAAAACCTTGTTTAGATTAAGTGATTTTGTTATATTATAATTTGTTATTTTATGATAAACATATATCATCAATATGTTTTTTAAAATGTGGTTAATATGATTTTTTTAGGAATCTGTGTCTGATATATATTGTTAAAACTTCTAGTTTTGTAATGATAGACTGCTTGTCTAATCAATAAAAATGTGTTGGCTCCAAAATCTTTATAACAGTTGAAGCATATTTACTGTTTTGTCAGATATTTAGAGTGGCTTCTAAGTTAATGTTGTATAAAAAAAATTTTGGGATGTTTAATTTGCGATCATTGATTTTATATTGTATATTGTCATTATATAAGTCACTGGCTACTGAAAAACTCCCTATTAATGTTAGTTTTTTATCCCTTCATAATGAGAAAAGTACGGAGCCCCGCACATGACATGCAAGAAAAAATAAATAAATTGTGCGCACGATTTACTAATTCGTTCCCTCTATGTACTAAAACGTGCACACGATTACTATTTAATTCCCTCGATTTGCTAATTCCTTCCCTGGATTTGCTAAATCGTGGGCACAATTTACTAATTCGTTCTCTCGATTTATAAATGGTGTGCACGATTTAGCAAATCGAGGGAACGAAATAGTAAATCGTGCGTACAATTTTATAAATCGAGGGAACAAAATAGTAAATCGTGCGCACAATTTGTAAATCGAGGGAACTAAATAGTAAATCGTGCGCACAATTTGTAAATCGAGGGAACGAAATAGTAAATCGTGCACACGATTTAGCCTACTCTTGAACGAAATAGTAAATCGTGCGCACAATTTGTAAATCGAGGGAACGAAATAGTAAATCGTGCGCACAATTTGTAAATCGAGGGAACTAAATAGTAAATCGTGCGCACAATTTAT